GCCGAGCAGGGAGCCCGACGCGGGACTCGATCCCGGGACTCCAGGATCATGACCTGAGCTGAAGGCAGTCGCTTAACCAACTGAGCCACCCAGGCGCCCCTTCAAACTGCTTTTTGGCTTGCGTCTCCTCTCTTGTTAGTGTTTTGCCAACAACCTGATTACCCAAACAGGAAACCAGGGGGCCCCTCGACATGCCCTCCCCTCTACCTCCTGTCCCAGAGCCGTCACTAAGCTCCATCGTGCCTACCTTCTGAACACCTCCTAAATGTGTGCCTTCCCTTTAGTCCCCTCCTGCTGCTCCTTCGGTTCAGAAAAGTCAACGTCTATCATCTGCACCTTGGAAATGTCCTCCCGGCTGGCCTATCCTCCCCCCAGTCTTCTTTAGCTAAGCTATTGCCTGCACAGCTGCAGAGTGATCATTCCAGAATGCAGTCTTGATAATGTCACTCCTCAGCTTAAAGCTCTCTGGTGGCTCCATGTTGCCTCCCCAATAAAGATCAGACTCTTCAGCTTGGCACCCTGGTCCCTGCCGTAGGCTTGAGCCACACGTCCCCTTGCCCCTTGTACCTTAGCAATAAAGAGCTCTTATTGTGTGTCTGCTTTTTCTCCTAGATGACAGCAATCTTACTGTAACAATTTGTTTACACACCTGTCCTCCTAACTAGACTGTGAAGTGCTTGAGGGCAGGGACTCTACTTTGCTTATAGCATATTGCTCGGGGCCTGGCACAGAGTCATTACAGTCATTCATTTGATAAACATTTGTTTAAGGTCCACCATCACGTGTCGAATTTATAGCATGTATTAGAATGTCATCTTGTCCCTTTGCCAAAGTGTCTTAATAATTTTAAACTAAAGACTTAGCAGTGCCATATACTGAATACTGGCCACTCTGGAGTCCTTTTCCACAGTGAAGGATGGTTGTAAATTAAAGTGCTGGCATCTGAAACTCTCCGGCGAGCATAATCCTGTTTCATGCTCAGTTGTCCATTTTGCATTCTGGAAAATGTGGCAGATCAAATGACAAGGCTTTGGGGGGCTCTTTCAGGCTGCTTTGGGAGGAGGAAGAGGAGACTGGTGGTGAGAGAAAAGCCTGTCCCAAACAGGATTCGTTATTTTGCCACCACCTCCCCACCCCATCCAGGTTGCTTCCCCTGTGTACCTGATGTCAGTTAATGGCATCACAGGACCTCCAGTCTCCTCCCTGGTTGTCTCCCCTCACAACCCACATTCCAGCCTCTCCAAACTTTTCTGAGTTCTCTGAGAACACCTCAGACCCTGTCATACCCTCCTGCTTTTGTGCATACCAAGCCTATGGCCTGCAATGTGCTTCCATGTACCCTTGACTTGGTGGGTTCTGCATGCATCTTTGGTGTGTGTGTGTATGCGTGCATTTGTGTGTGTATATGTGTTTATGCACATGTGGGTTTATGTGCATATGCATGTGTTAACATTTGTGTATCTCTGTTGTGTGTTTACGTGTGTATATATGTGTGTGTATGCATGTTTATACACATGCATATGTGTTTATGTGTGTGTGCTTGTGTGTGTGTGTGTGTGTGTATGCACACATTCATGCATACTTCTATCCTCCTATCCTGTTCTAGTGTCTCCTCATCCATGGAATTTCCCCACCTCCTCCAGGAAGAACCAGTCCCTTATTACGGTACCTTTTTAATAGGACAGTTAACATTGTTGGGATTATCTGTCCTTGTGTTTCTTCACATAAACTGTGGGTCCCCAAAGCGCAGCGACTGTGTTTTCTTTTTCTTGAGGGGTGCTCCTACCCCAGCACAGTGCTTGGCACAAATATGCCTGAATCAACATACGAATGTTAAGGCCACTCCATCCATCCATCCATCGATCCATCGATCCTTCCATCCATCCATCCAATCAGCCATACAAGGCTGGTATCTGTTTTTCCTAATCTACTTCCTGCCCAATACAGGGACTTTACAGACAAAAATCATTCCTGGGGGTTGTGCCAAATTGAAAGTTGGAGCCCCTCCCTTACTTGCCACGGATGCCCCACATTCCTTCCTAACACCTCCTCAGGTGGCTTCTTTTCCCCTTCTTTCCTTCTTTAGAATACCCTTATCTATCTTTTCATTAAAATGTCATCTGTATAACAATCTGTGTGCTCTGAGGAGTGGTCCTTTGGATGCGGATCCTTGAAACCTTCAGAAGCTTCAGAAAGCTTCCCCATGGTGTCCAAGGCTGTGGTTTCCCTGGGGAGAACAAATCTCATTAGTGTATCTTTTTTCCAGCAACATCATCTCTTCCTCAAAAATGAATAACCAGTCATTAGAAGAGGAGGGAAGACTGAGTAGGAAAGAAATCTGGGGTAAAATGAGGCTAATCTGAGAACCAGAGAAAAAGAGATCTTGAGGCCAAAAGTAGTGGAGAGCAAGCGCGGCAGTCCTTCTGCCGCTCAGAGGACACCAGGGGCTGAGATGTCCGTCCATCTCCAGTGCTGGTCCCACTCCTGCTTGTTGTCACTCCTTCCCATCCCTCCCGACTGTTGTTCATCCCCCACCCCATCTCTCCGAACAGAGTCAGTGGGCCAGCCTCCTCCCCCCGCCGCCATCTTGTAAGTCCTGCCTGTCACCATTCTGTCACCAATCTGGCTTTACTCCTTCAAAATACCTCTAAGATTGGCCCTTTCTCCGCACCCCCCCCAACTTTCCATCCCCCGCAAGCGGATCTGCCTGTGGCCATGCTCCCGTCCTCCAAACACACGTCTGTGATGGCGCCCTTCCGCAGTGCAAGGACCCTTAGCAGCAGCCATGCTGCTTCCTCCGTCCTGACGGAAACCTGCACTGCGGTGTGGGGGGCTGTCTCCAGTCTCAGGCAGCGCCCCCGACCCTGCTGCGCCCCCGTACTGCCTGAGACCCCCGTCCTCCTCTCTGCGCATGTGCGACCCGCGCCATCCGACCGGCCCCTCCAGCCCGCACGGCTCCGCCTCCACCTCGGACGCGCTTGTCGCTGCTGCAGAACGTCACCATCCCGTTTGCTCGTTACCATGCTATGGTTTTCACCCAAAAGCCTTTGCAAAATTTATAGAGCTGCGCGACCTGGAACATAAGTCGCAAAGACCAAACTGGAACAAAGTTAAAGCAGATTTCTACGTGCAGGGAGAGCCCTGGAGCGTAGCGTGGTGTCGGCTGATCCCACGGGTGTTAGTTTTGTCCCCCGATCTGTCTGCGGTGGCTGGAGCGTGGGCGAACCTTCCACAGAGGGTTACCCAGGGCCAGGCTCAGGGTGACGCTCACCAAACACACGTTAATTGATTTATTGATTTATTCATTCCGTCTTTGACAAACATTTATTTACTGCCCACAGAGAACTCCCAAGAAGTTTACTTCTCTGCCCAAACGACACTGAAATTCAATGACAGCCATCGGGCGCCTGAAAGAGGACTTTGACAAAGGAGAGCAGCCTGGGAACAGGTTTCGCTGCCTTGGGCTCACCTTGAGCAGTAGCCAAGCTCAGCACGTTGGGAACGTGCACGGAGAGCACACTTGCGGCACGCTGTTTGTTCAGCAGTAACCTTCCTGAAGCACGTGTCTGTTGGTGAGAACCCGGCCTGAAAGAGTCAACACAAGACTTCTGGCTGATTCTGCAGGGGCACTGGGGCTGTGGATGCCCGTAACGCAGATCCAGAACTTCCTGTCCCGGGTTTAGCAAAACCACAGCACAGCAGGGAGAATCCTGGCCGGGACTCTCCCTCTCATGGGCCACAACCAGGGCCTGGAGCTAACTGGAGGGCTTCCTTGAGCAGGGGAGCTGTCAGCCCATTTCTAGAAGTGGCTTCCTCCAGCTGCTGCCTTGGGGCTGGTTCTGGCCTCCCTATCTGGCCGCAGCTCCCTAGGACTCAAGCCAGAAGCCACATCTGAGTGGACAAGTGGACAAGGGGCCTCTGAGGGCTGCAGGGTGGCTACCGAGGCTAAGGGACTGGTGGGAATATTTATTCGTAACAGAAACGCAAACGTATCCTCGGTCAGGTTTAAAGGCCTAGTCAGTGATTACATATTTTTATTATTTACCTGGTAAAAATTCCCTAAAAAGAGAGAGAGAAGCTTGATGTTTCCCCTGAACTTTAGGCTCTGTTCAGTGATTTTGTGGCCATGTGGTACATCTGAAACGTCTAGCTTCTGGGCTGGGCTCAGAGCAGGGAAATCAGTTGAGAGACTTAAGCCTCATAGACCTTGGCCTGTAAGAGGGTCTGCTAGGCAGAAAGTTCAGAGCCAGAGGGAGGTAGCAGCCCAACGAGGTAATTCTCCCAGCCTCCAGATGACAAAGGTTGCATTTACACCTGGCTGGGAGGTTTAATCATCTACCATTTCCAAACACAGCAGGCTAACAACCGGCTGGGCTGAAAATCATAAATTAAAAAAAAAAAAAAAAAATTACCAAGAAGAGACAGTACAAGGGGGAAGGAAGGAAGACGTGGGTCAGTGTTTCTGTTCCAGAGGACCCTGGGTGGGGGGCTCTGGGTGAGGGGCTGTGGGTGGGGGCCTTTGGCGGGGACCCTGGGTGGGGGGCTGTGGGTGGGAAGCCTTGGAAGGGGGTCCTGGGTATCTGGGTAGGGCCCTTGGTGAGGGGCCCTAGGTGGGGGGCCCTGGATGAGAGGTTGTGGTTGGGGACCCTGAGTGGGAGGCCTTGATGGGCACCCTGGCTGGGGGCTTTGTGTGGGGGCCCAGGGCAAGAGGCTGAGTCAGGGTTCCCAGACAAGCAGGAACAGCCCGGTTGCTATGAGCCCCATGAGAAAATGGCCACCTGCGACATGGTCACCTGTGACCATGGCTGTGAGGAAGAAGTCTCTGCCAAAAGGATCTTCCCTCGGGGGCTTGCCATTGGTGCTTATATGTCGCTGCTTTCTTGTTAGGGGAGGCCAAGCCGTCTTTTTGTCACCAGCCCAGGCAGTCTGGCATAGGGTTGCACGCACTCCCCCCACCACACCCCCATCCCCAGTGCCAGCCTGCCTGGGTTCAGATCTCATGTGTGGCTTTGGGCAAATAACCTTGGCTCTGGAATCCTCCATTGCCCCACCTATAAAATGTGGATGATAACAGTCCCTGCCTCATAAGATATTGTCAGGGTTAAATGGGACAATGTGTTGTTGTTGTTACTTCATAGAAAAATGCCACTTGGGGGCCTGTGGCCAACTTTAGCTGTAGGTTGATGGTGTCTGAGCTCAACGTGTGTGAACCAGATGATGATGAATTTATAGATGGGAGAGACTCGGAAGTCCTGCAGTCCACAGGCTATGTGTTATGTGTTAATTTTTCACACATTGCTTTGAACACACCAAGAGAGAAAGCCATAGATCCTCACTGATGAATAGGATCTTCATAATTAAGTTTTTATGCAGGAGAAAAATCAATCTTTTAGCTAATTAGCAATAAATATTATTGAATGCCTGCCGTATACACGACACTCTGGACAGCGTAGGGGATGCGGCAAAGTTAGATCCAGGTTCCTCCTCCCTCAATAAATTTACCATCTCGATAGGGGACAAGACGTATATGTAAATAGATGACTAACAACTCAAGATAACATATGTCAAATACCAAATGAATTGTACTGTAGCACAAATGTATTTGTGTCTTATCTTCTCCTTGCTCTACAAAGACAGAATCCATCTCTGTCTTGCTCACCATGATGTTCCCTCTGCCCACGTGTGCATTATGGCCCAGCCTTCCTGAACATCTACTGTGTCCCAGGCAACGTTCTGAGCCTTTTTGGTATTAACTCCTTGAAGACTATAATATAGGCTAAAATAGAAATACTATCAACAACCCCATTTTCAAGGTGAGGAAAGTGAGGCACAGAGAAATTTAAGAACTTGCTCAAATTCCCACAAGTCCGCTCATCACCCATGGGCAACGTCAGGCACACACCGTGCCTCGTGTGCTCAGCACAGACAATGGGACGGTGTGTCCACGGGGCCCCCAGTGTTCCAGAGACCTGCCGGGCACCTTCACCGACGGCCTCACTTCATCTTCACAAAACTCCATTGAGGAGAGTATTGTGATTTCATGTTGTTTTTTTTAAAGATTTTATTTATTTATTTGAGTGAGAGCTTGTGAGAGCATGAGCAGGGAAAGAGGCAGAGGGAGAAGCAGGCTCTCCGCTGTGCAGGGAGCCCGACGTGGGGCTTGATCTCGGGACTCCAGGATCATGACCTGAGCCGAAGGCAGACGCTTGACCAACTGGGCCACCCAGGCCCCCCTTGTGATTTCATGTTAAAGAGGAAGAGGCTCGGACAGGCCAAGGACACATGCAAGTTACTAGCTGGCAAAGGGTGCCGGCCAAATGTATTCCTATACCAAGGGACTGACCTGGATTGGAACAAATGTTTGAGTTCAGAGGACTGGAGTGGTGAAGGAAGTTTTCTCTAAGATGGAGTGTGTCCGCTGGATTCTGAAGAAGGAACCAGATTCAGATAAGCAGAGAATGTGAGAGAGAGCTAGAAATAGGGCAGGAAAGGCAACACAGAAGTCCTGTGGGCTTGTACCAGCAGGCTGGCTGCAGTGACTAATATGTGCAAGCAGGAAGTGGCAGGGACAGTGAGGAAGGTAGATCAGGGACAGATTAGAAAAGGCCTTGAGTACTAAGCAAAGGAGGGCAGACTCTGCAGGAACAAACTCCACAGAACTGAGCTGGGCACGTCTTGAGTGCTTAATGTTTCTGGATCTCTAGCTGGGACCAAACATTTGATAAGACTGGCGTGGTCTTTAATTTCTTCAACCTATAGTTGTATTGAATTACATAAAATGTTTAATCAAGGCCGCTGGAAAATTACACAAAGCATTTGCTTCATATGGCATGGGAAAATTTAAAAGCCTTGCAGAAAAATGCCAGTGTCCCTGCCTCCCTCCCTCTCTTCTTTCTGCACTTCTGAGTTAGTGGACACTGAAGTTGTACTGCCTTATCATTGAGGAAATGGAGCAGACGACGAGGCCCAAGCTGTGGGCTCGTAAGGTAACAGCAGAGCTTCATGCTGCTAGCAACTGTTCATTTCAGTTCCTGGGGTTCCGGACTTGATTCTAGGGCGTTTCACCATAAGCGTCTTTGCTGCAAGCGTTTTTGCCATAAACATTTTTTGCCAAATAACTAATTGGCCATAACGCATTTTTGCCATAAAAGAAAAAAATAACTGGTTAAGAGTTTGGTTTGACAGTTTGTTGGTTTCATCAGCCAGTTGACAGTATGGTTTCATTTCTCCATTGACACAACACTCCCATTTTTATATAAATCTTAGCCATCATAATGATCTATATGGTGGCAGAGAGTTCTGAATGCACATTTCCCACAGAATTTTGGAACATTCATCAATGAGCATGTGACAATATGCCGAGAACAGACAACAGTGTGGAAGGCTTTCATAACGCCGTCCAAAGCTCAGGGACAAATATGCATCCTAATATTGGAAACATACTTCTCTTAATGAGGGAAGAAATTTTAGTGAAAAAAAAATGTGAGGTGAAGAGACCAATCAACAACAACAAAAAAATGTGTAATACTATGAACGAAAGACGTTGAAGACAAGTGCTTGGGTACAACCCACAAAATAAAATCAGGTATTTGAGCAGTATTGCCATGAATCTACACACGTTTTAAATGTATTCAAATATTTTGTATTTTGCAATAGTCTTTTTAATTTTGTTATTCATTTTTCATGTTTCGTTATGTCCTTTTTAATGAATGTCCCTCCTTTAATTTTCGTGATTTTATCTTTTACGGCAAAACTGCCTTATAGCCGGGACGCCTGGGTGGCTCAGTCGGTTGGGCGTCTGCCTTTGGCTCAGGTCGTGATCCCAGGGTCCTGAGATCGAGTCCGCGGGGAGCCTGCTTCTCCCTCTGCCTCTGTCTCTCTCTCTGTCTCTCATGAATAAATAAATAAAATCTTAAAAAAAAAAAAACTGCCTTATAGCCAATTAGTTATGTGGCAAAAATGTGTGCTGTGGAAATGCTCATGGCAGAGATGTTCACAGCAAAGGTCCTGGATGCGCCCAGGACCCAGAGCAGTCGGTACCACTGCCACTAGGGTGGGCTTCCAGCTGTGGGTGTGAGCTTTGCCACAGCTCCTTGCCACTCTGTTTGTTTTTCCACCCGTGGAACAGAGGATCCTAACGGTTCTGCGCTCTCTGCTCACACGAGCATGGTGATGAATAAGGCAGTGTTTGCTGAGGCCAATGGGAACCTAGACATCACACAAGCACCTCAGTTATGACTCCGGGTAGAACCCAGATGGTGGTGGTGTTTCTCTATTTGCTCTGTTATAAAGCAGAATCTCATTCCACCCCCGGACCCTGCTCTGCGTATTACAGTGAGGCCAGGATATTGGGGATGGAGGTGGGCAGAACGTGGTGGCGTGATGGAGGAAATAAAGCCACCAGGACCGTATCTTGCTTTGTGTTGGCATTTCTTATTTTGTTGGCTGTGTTTTCTGGACATTTGGAAAGTTTAAACAATGTCTGTAATTGGGTATCTTACAGCTTTCTGCGGAAAGTATACAAACGTTGCCGACATTGAAAGTTGGAAGGTGAAGACACCGGTATTCAGCTCCCTCATTTGGTATATAACGCTTTGTATTTCTTTTTCATTCCTTTTGGGGAAACATATTTTTAGAGGAGAAAAGACAAAAGTAGCTCCTTAAACTACACAAAAATATTTATTAAAGGTCCTCTGTAGCTATTGTAGGATCTCTCTTATTTGTTCAGAGGCTCTGAAGAGTAAAAATCTGTGTATACGGTGTTAACTGTGGGTCCTGTGGGACTTGGAATGGAGGGGCCAACTCCTCCGAAAATCCTCCACGTATTTTCCAAATGGAGACTTGAAAACCTTTGCTTGAACAAGCCAGCCTTCTTGTTTTCCTGTCCTCTATCAAGATTCAAACTAAGTTGGCCACCCACTGATATGAATCTGTAAATAGACTAAATCCTCCCTTTGAACACACTGGTCCCTAACTTGCTATCTTATGAAAATGTTTGGGGGATGACAACATCACAGTGCTCAGCAGAGACTAGCGCGTCTGCCCTTTGCTAAGGAGACCTGGAAGGCTGCGGGTCTCTTGGAGAGGGAAGGAGATGCCGGGGACTACAGACCACAAAACATGCCTGCACAGAATCGAGGCTCCCTGACGCCTTCCTCTCACTGTGTGTGTGTGTGTGTGTGTGTGCCGTTTGTGTTGTACATGGTGTGGGTTGTGTGGTGTGTATGGTGTGTGTGAGGTATGGGGTACGTGTCTGTGTGTGTGTGTTGTGTGTGGTATGTGTTCTCTGTGTGTGGTGTGGTGTGTGTCTCTGTGTGTGGCACGTGTGTTGTGTATGGGGTGTGTGTTGTATGTGGGGGTTGTGTGTTGGTGGTGGAGGATGCTATTTCTGCAGAGATCTATATTTCTAGTTAGCTTTGTGCCTTGTGGTGGGAAGGAGAAATGTGGAGAACAGAGTTTTTTAATTTTTTTTTAATTGAGCTATAATTGATATCTAACATTATATTAGTTTCAGGTGTACAACATAATGATTTGATATTTGTATATATTGTAAAATGATCATCACAGTAAATCTAATTAACATCCACCACTGCTCATAGCTACAGAAATTTCTTTTTTCATGTGATGGGAACTTTTAAGATCGACTCTCAGCAACTTTCCAAATATACAACACAGTACTGTTAGCTCTAGTCACAGTACTGTGATTACATTCTTATGACTTATTTTTTAATATTATTTTTAACTGCCACATTTCTAAAGCCCAGTTTTTCATTCTGTTCTCTTCCCATACCTTCCAGTGTTCCCTATTCTCTCGTTTCTTTATTTCACTGTTTTCTTTAAATAAATCCTTTCTGCTCCTACCTCCTTTAACTTTTCTCCCACTATCCCTTTTTCTCTATTTCCTTATTTTTATTTTTCTCTATTTCTCCTAATTCTGCTAAACTTTCTCCCTCCTCCCATTTCTCTCTTGCTCCTCTCCCTGGAAGCTGGACGTCAGAGAACTTGAACTTGACCCAGAGCCCAGCCAGAGGCATCGGTTGTACTCTATATCATGTTTCTTTAAAATAAAGCTTGCCAGCATGATAGCCTTGTGGAGTTGTCCATGGCGCATGTGTCCAATCCTCTGCTGTTGTTCTGAATTCTGAATTCACGTTGTGATTTTAATCCTTCTCATCAAATAGAGGTGGCTGTCTTTCTAGTTGTTGGTGAGTTGCTAGAAGCAAAAGAGTAAGAGTGTGACAAGGAGTTGGTGAGGAGTTTGAGCTGGAGAAATAAATGA